GGCAGCCGTGCTGCGGGGACGGGGCAGCCCTGCTGCGTCCCTGGGGCTCCCAAAACCCCGGCGCCAGCTCCTGCTACGTCCATGGGGAAACTGAGGCACGGAGCCCTGCCTTCGGTCCGCCGTCCTGACTGCCAAACCACGGCACGGCCCTGGGGGGCTGCAGGGCCCGGGGGCTCAAAGAGGAGCCAGGGGACAAGGTGGTGACCCCGAGTTGGAGACTCCCGGGGTGCATCACTGCGGGGGGACGGGGGGGGGTGATGTACCCCTGGGTGTGCTCCTCTGCACAGGAGGGTGCTAGGAGGCTGTGGGCTGCAACTGGCCCTGGGGAGGGGATCCGGAGGGGGTCCCTTCTGGCTGATACTTCCCCTCAGTGGCCGGAAAAGGTTTCGCAACCTCGCTTCCTCCCCGGGCAGCATAAATCAGGCAGCGGAGGGAAGGGCTGCCTGGAAGGCAGCGGGGCGGCGGGCACAGGTGAGGGACCCCGGGTCTGGCACTGCCACGTCCCCACTGGAGCCCTTTGGGGGTGATCCCTGCATTCATCCCCGTGCCTAGTGCTCCCTGGTGGGGACTGGCTTGGGGACGAGGAGGAGACCCCAGAGTTGGGGGTACTGCACGGACAGAGAGTGGTGAGTTCCTGGGGATGACTGGGGCTTTCCTTGGGCTTTGCTTGACCCCCAACACCTGGAGGAGAACCCTCACATGGGGCATGGGCTGGGCTGGGGTCCACGGTGGGCTGCTCTGGCTGCTGAGGAGCTGTTAGGTGTCCAGGTGTGGGGGAGTGGAAGGTGGTGGTTGGGGCACCCAGAGCTGTGCTCGGAGCTTATCTGAGGTGCAAACCCTGTGTCTTCCCCCCAGACATTGGCCATGGGGGCGATGAACTGGAAGGGTGATTCCCCATGGTGTGTCCCTTCTCCCTCCCTCAGCAGACCCCCAAGGCCATCCCAGTGTCGCCCAGTCCTTCCAGGGTCAGAAGAGCAAATGGGGTGCTGCTTGTTCCTCCAGCCAGGCTGGCTGCGGGGTACGTGCCTATGGGGGATACCCAGTCCCAGAGGAACCACTGGTATTTTGGAGTGCGGAGGCAGAAAGAAGCAGCCAAAAATAGATGGAGGGGAAGCACTGATGTTCGGCTCTGCCCTGTGCCTGTGGTGGCCCCACTGGGGGTACCTGCTGGCAACAGCAGTGTCCCCGGCCACGATCCTCTCAGATCCTGAGGCATCACCATTCTGGCATCACCACCCCAGGGTCACTATCCCGTCATTAACCACAGGAGCGGGGCTGGCAGAGCCAGGGAGTGTTTTTTCTGGGCAGGTGCGTTAGTCCAGCTGCAGTGTGGATTTCCCACCAGACAGAAGGGGAAAGTGGGTCCCAAGGAGGGTTTGGTCAAATGGGGCCAGCTCAGGGCTGGGGATGCTCTGCAAAGACTCAGCACCCCAAGCAGCCCCATGCTGGGAGGGGCTCAGGGGCAAGGAAATGGGGTAAAGGGGTGAAACTGGAGGGAAATGAGCTTGGATCCAATCTGGGAGAAGACTGAAACTTGATAGTCTTCAGGGAGGTTGGAAGAGAGCAGGGTGTCCTGCACAAGAGGGGACAAGAAAAGCAATGGTCACCTGTAATTTCCCCATTGCAGTCAAGCATGGGGGACATGGGGATGCCTGGCACCACCCTGCTGAGAACAGGAAAACCAGATGTGAAGTATTTCCAAAGCTGCCTGCAAAGGGTGACACGTCTTTCCGTCCTGTGGCTGAAACCACTCACACAGGGACAGGATCAGGGAGGGGGGTAAGGAGGGCATGAAACCAACCACTTGCAGACCTTCTTGAGTGCCTCTTGCCCCAGGCACCGTGACCACAGCCTCACCGCTGGCCGCATTGGCAGGAGGGGCAGCTCCAGCACTGATGCTTGAGTGGATGGAGAGGCTGCAGGGATTCACATATGCTTGAAGGACTTTGGAGGTGCCTGAGGGGCCCTGAGATGCCCAAAGAGCTCAGAGACTTTTGAAGGTTCCTCACAAACCAGGGGTACCAAGGGATGCTGGTGGGGCCAGGTGTCTTCTGTGGGGATGTGATGCTGCATGGATGGGGGAGCTCCCCAGCCTGAGAAGAGGTGGCTGGTCTGTGGGGAATCCCTTCCTCCACTGGGGGGGACTGCAAAGGAGCAGTTTTGGGGTGAAGTGGAGCAGATGGAGGGGTGCTGGGGTGTTGTACAAGGGGATGTATGAGGGACAGTGTCTACCTGCAGCACTCCCCATTGCCTGGCAGAGTGTGGATAGAGCAGAGCGAAGGAGGGGGGCTGCCCACTGGCTGGGAAGGGACCTGGTGGGCAATGGAGATGCTGGGGACACAGAGACATTCTCCTCCATGGCCCACCCTGCTCTTCCACCCCACATTCAGGCTGTTTTGTGCTCCACAGGCAAAATGGAGTCTCTCTCCCTCAGTGACGACTTGTTGAACATCTTGTCCTTCTACAACTACACCTATGACTACAGCACGTCCTTGCCCGACACTGCTATCTCTGCCACCCCATGCTGGCCTGATGGCTCTGTCCTCAACAAGTACCTAGTGGTGGTGATCTACTGCTTTGTCTTCATCCTCAGTGTGGTGGGGAATGGGCTGGTTGTGCTGGTGGTGACCTCCAGCCACACCAGCCGCTCCGTAAACGATGTCTATCTGCTCAACCTGGCTGTGGCAGACCTGCTCTTTGCCTTCAGCCTGCCTCTCTGGGCTGCCTACCAAGCCCATGAGTGGGTCTTTGGCACTGTGATGTGCAAAGCTATCTCCGTGCTGCAGGAGGCCAACTTCTACAGTGGCATCCTGCTGCTGGCCTGCATCAGTGTTGACCGCTACTTGGCCATCGTCTATGCCACTCGGGCTGCCACCGAGAAGAGGCACTGGGTGAAGTTTGTCTGCTTGGGCATCTGGGTCTTCTCTGTGTTGCTGTCACTGCCTATGCTGCTCTTCCGCGAGGTTTTCATCTCTCCCCACAATGGCACCGTGTGCTATGAGTACATTGGGAACGAGGACACGAACAAGTGGCGGGTGGTGCTGCGGCCCCTGCCACAGACCTTTGGCTTTGCCCTGCCTCTCCTGGTGATGCTCTTCTGCTATGGCGTCACCATCCACACCCTCCTGCAGACCAAGAATTCCCAGAAGCAGCGGGCCATGAAGGTCATCTTTGCTGTGGTGCTGGTCTTCCTCATCTGCTGGCTGCCCTACAACATCACGTTGGTGAGCGACACCCTCATGAGGACACGGGCCATCACTGAGACCTGTGAGAGGAGGAACCGCATCGATGCAGCCCTCTCCATCACACAGGTCCTGGGTTTCGCCCACAGCTGCATCAACCCCATCATCTACGCCTTCATCGGGCAGAAGTTTCGCAACAGCTTCCTCAAGATCCTGGCCCAGCGTGGGCTCATCAGCAAGGATGCTGTGGCCCGCTATGGCCGTGCCTCCTATGCTTCCACCTCTGGCAACACCTCCACCACCCTCTGAACCCTGCCAGGACCTGACCCTTGCAGCTCCCAACAGGTCCCAGCACCCTACGTACCCTGGCATCTTTGCCCAGCCCCCTGGGATGCAGGCAGTGATGGCATGGGGAAGGGAAGGGCCACCACTGGATGCTGGATCCCAGCTGGAAGGGACAGTGAGGGGGTAGGACCCCATTGCCAGGGGAGTGATGCCCAGTGCTGCCCACCCTCCCTGCTCTTCGGGGCAGAGCCTGTGATTTCAGAGACCATGAGACCCCGCTGTGGGGACAGTGTTCATGGCCAATGGCCATGCTGCAATAAACCACTTGCTGGGTTGGGCATCCAGGTCTGGCTCTTCCTTGCCATGGGTTGGGAGAGGGCAAGATGGGGCCAGGACACATCCCCAGGGACAGTGAGTCCTGGGCTCTCCGCCTCAGTGCCAAAATGGTGGTGCCAGCTGAGCCTGGCAGGGTGTGGGTAACCCTGCTTCCTGCCCAAGAGATTGTTGCAGAGGGTTCAACATCCAGTACATTCCCAGAGGGGACCCAAACCTGAGTCTCATTCCCTGCAACCACCCAGCCAGGTCCTGGTACTTCACTGACCTCTGCCCAAATGGTGCCAGCACCCTGCACCACCCCCCAGTGCTGTTGGGGGGACATTGTGCAAAGGGCTGGGAACCTGTCCCTTACACAACTGGGACATTTCCGCCCCAACTTGGGCAACTGATGTGGCACTGGAAAGGAGCAGAAGGCCTGACTCTGCTGAGTTCCCTCCTACACCCTATGTGCCAGGTATTGGGGTGCCTGCCTGCCTGACCCTGTATGCCCAAGCATCTCTCCATGGGGGTCCTGTAGTGTTCCTCCATCCCCCCAGTCCAGGCTCCTGGGGCCCCTTAACTGTGAGGGGCATCAGCGGGTGCCAGCAGTGTGTTTGCTCATGACTGGGGTTCAGGGGTCCCCTGGCACTCATGTAGGGAGCCCTGGGGACTTGAGGCTTGGCAGTGTCAGTGTTGGGCTGGGTGGGGACAGCTCATCACCTTTGCATCTGAGACACCTCTTACCCAAGCAGTTCCTCTCAGTCTGGCAGGAAGCCGAGGCTATTGGCCAAGAGCTGTCTTACCTGCCTGCTGCTGCCTCCCTGGGGCAGAGAGCAGATCAGCCTGGAGACAGCTGGGACACCCTGTGTGGGGACAATTCCACCTAGGATGATTCGGACACCCCCATACCGGCATCTCCCCACACCCAGCCTGGGGTCAATCTGGTGATGACTGATAGACCACACGGGAGCAACAGGGGTAGCAGGAGCATGTTGTTTTCCTCTCCATGGACCATCCACAAAAAAGACACATCTCAAACCCAAAACACAGGGTAGCAGGACCTGACTGCAGGACCTGGACACCTGGTTCCCTGGTAAGTGTGGGAGCAGGCAGCCAGGGCAGGGGATGTCCCAAGCATTGCACGCGGGCTGCAGTCCTGGATCACATAGTCTGCTGGTGACTTTGCTGGTAGCAAAGCAGGCAGCAGCGCCCTTGTTTGCCCACGTCCATGGAGCACGTGTGGCACACCTTGCCCTGGCACAGCCTGCCAAGAGAGTGGGTGGTGAGAGCTGTGGCATCCCAGTGCCACCCCTGGTGCCCCCCATAGCCCACCTGCAGTTGTACCGCCGGGAGAGGAGGCGGAAATCCTTGTGGCAGCGGGTGCACAGCCCTGCGTCGCGGGGTGCAGGGCTGGGCATCAGGGTGTCGATGCCCTCTGTCTTCTGCCACAGGGCATCCTTCTCCCTGTGGGAGGGAACAGGTTAGCCCTGGCAGGAGCATGTCCAGCGGGGGGAGGTCCGGGAACACTTAAGGTGGGCACCCAACTCTCCTCCTGGGTCTTTTGAGCCCAGGATTTGCCATGGTTTTGGTGCCCTCCTCTGGGCAAAAGGGCTTGGACGCCCTAGCTTGCACATCGCCCCACACTGGTGGGTTCCCCAGGGCTCTCACCGCAGCAGCTCCACCAGCCTCCCCTTCATGTCACGGATGAGTTCCTGCTGCCGTGCCTGCTCCGCACCTCGCAGGGCCTCCCGCTCCAGGGCCTCCCGCTGTGCCCGCTGAAGTGCTGATGCCCAGCGCTCCCCATCCTGCCGGGCCCTGGCATGGGGCAGTGGGGAGATGGGCCCCCTGTCACTCAGCTGGCCTTCTCTCCACCCAACCACCCACCTACTCACCCCTTCCCTCCTCCGTCCCTCCCTCTCTCCATCTGCCTCTCCCTTTCCCTCTCTCCCTCTCTCCCTCCCTCCCTCTGTCTTTCCCTCCCTCCTACTCTTTCTCCCTCTATCCATTGCCCATCCTTCCCCAAACTGGCTTCCCATCCTCACAGCCACCCTTCCATCTTCCCTTCCACCTTCCATCCATGGCCTACCAGCCCCCCATCCACTTCTCAGCTGTTCTTCTGTCCTCCACAACCATCTCTCTGTCCTTCTGCCCATCTATCCATCCCAAATTCATCCCTCCGTTTCTCCATTCACTTGTCTCACATTTATCCCTCCATCCTTCTGTGTGCCCACCCGTCAGCCCACCCCAAATTCATCCACCCACCCAACCACTCCTCTGTTCGTCCCAAATTCACTGCTCCACCCACCCCTCCATCCACCTTCTCCAAATTAATTCACCCACCCCTCTACCCGCCCACCATCTACCGATCAGTCCCCAAACTGACACCTCCCACCAGCCCTCCCTCCCCAGATCTTTCCCCTGCCCATCCCCAGGTGCGGGTCCCCTGGGTCCAAGTGGGGCATCAGGGAGGGTCCCAGGGGAAACCCTGCATCAGTGCGACTGGGGATGGCGGGAGTGGGGAGTCCCTGCCCAACCTGCTGAGCTGCTCCTGCAACCTCTCCACCTCCTGCCGCTCCGCCTGGCG